GAAAAACCAGTTCAGCAAAACTAACCAATACAATGAAAAAATCCAACATAACATGCAGCATGACTCATAGTCATCCACCCTTGCAAAGAAGAGGAGGAAGTGCTCATCTCATTACTTTTCAAAAGGTCTGGGGACAGTCCTATTACCTGACTAGCATGAAAGCACTCTGGATAAGCAATTCTACTTCTCCCTCATCAAATTATAAGCACTGGCTAGGGCATTTAAGGTAGATACTACATGGAATGACAACAAGTGATGACAGTCATTAGTCACTAGCTTCTCATTTCCCACTAGGCACATTCAAATAGTTATTTAGGGACATTACTTTTCAATGGTCACTTTTAAAGCTAAACTATAAATTAGCACACAAAAGCAAAAAGAGATTTGATTTTTGAGACTCCAGAAAGCACTATTGAGTTGGGTGTATTACTTTGCTTCTACTGATATGCCAAAAGAAGAAAAATAAGGAGAAAACCGGCAAGTTTAAGATGAGCTACAATACAGTGAAAACTAAAAGTCAACAAAAATGCAACCTACATGCAACATCTGCTTCAGTGCTTTTAAGTTTTAAGGTTTTACATAAGGTCTACTTTTAGCTGCTTCAAAATGCAGGTTCAAGATTTTGATGTCAGATGCACTCAGTATTTGAATTATTCAATTAAAAAAGTGTTAGCTTGTGAACAAACAGGAAAGATGGTAGAAAGCAGTCAATTATGCAAAACTGATTGTATTTTTTCATGGACTGTGAACATATGAGTATAAATGGCATTCCAAAGGAATGAGTCCTGAGATGAACCAAGACTAGAGTATATCCAGTCCAGCACTTCCATCTGCATTGATCTATCACCATGCAGAACTTTTTCTTCTGTTTGTGCTTAGCTTGCAAATTATAAACTTGTTCTTTATTTTGATACAGAATTCATCTCTACTTTTCAGACCTCATGCTAAACTTTATCTAACATTGACTGTTCACTGTGCTAGGGAAACCTTTCAAGGATCATCTGGAAACCTGACTACTACTAAATGCAAAAGCCCTCTCCTCATGGAAGGGTTTGAGACAACTGTTTATTTTGGGGGTCTTTTTTTGCATATATATATATTTGCATATGTATATATTATGTATTAGTTAACAAACATCAGCAAAGTTGAACATTTCCATATACAAAGAAGAAAGCTGCATCTGAAATTGTATCTTTATTACATCTAACTTGTTTCCTGCTTTAAAAAGTATGTTATACATTCAACATTTTAGTTCTCCCCCTGAACCTGCTTCTGCTCTCTTCTGGACATTCTTTTAAGCGCTTCATTGATACTCTTCTCCCTTTTAGGGTGACCAGGGGGCCATCACTAGCTATCTTTCCCCTAATTCCCTCCTCCTTTCTGAAGAAACCCAACCTCCCTTGTAGCATAGTCAAGCAAAACAATTCTACACATTTTCCATGTCCAAAAATACAACTCTTGGTCTCTGCTTCTGGTCCATTCATTATCTGTGAGGAGGTGGGGAAGCATGTTTCATCAACAGTCCCCTGGAGTCATGGTTCATCCTTATGTGGTAAGAGTTATGAAGTCTTTCAAAAATAGTCCTTTTTTTAAAACTTGATCCAGTCATTATATACATTGTTCTCTTAGTCTTGCTCACTTCCGCCTCTACCAGTGCAGATAAGTTTTCTCAGGCATCTGATTTTATCCCTTTCATTATTTCTTATAGTACAATAATGCAATTATATTCGTGTACTACTTGCTCGGTCATTTTCCAACTTATGGGTGCTCCATTAATTTCCAGTTCTTTTCTACAACAAAATGTGCTGCTATGAATATTTCTGTACATAGTGATCCTTTGAATACTTCTCAGAGAGCCAAGTTCATGGCTCTTTGATAGTAACTATGTTTTTTTTTGGTCAAGACCTGTTTCATTGGTGCTGGGCACTCCCTGGGGAGGTAACTCCCACTACCAAGCAGACAAATGACTTTTGTTTCAGAGGGTTGACTGAGGGTACCAGAGCCCAGTCTGTGTCCCAGGTAGAACATGAACTCAGGTCATCCTACCTACGAGGCCTGCTCTCTATGCACTATGCTCTTCATTTAGTATGTAGAAATTACCCAGGGAAATTCAAACCAGAATTAACTACCTTAAACATCAAATTTTCATCCACGTAACATCACTATAGCAAGAGTCTACCAAAAACACACACAAATGATACTCAAAGAAATTCTGGGGCTAAGTGTTCTTAGAATAATATACTTTCTTCTTAGGGCAGTTAAGAAGCAAATGGACATAGAAGCCCACTAGGATTCAAAGCTTAGGGTTTAGATTTGTTAATATTTGATTACTGCAAAGGGCTGAACAACTTCATTTTGGGGTTGGCTTAATCGGCCTTCACATTGAGCTATAAAATACGTGAGTCCCAGACTTCATGGTTATATAATGATTTTGACCAAGTTCTAAACCAAAGTTAATTTCAGCTTAGAATTCAGCTGAGCATCAATGAAATAAATATCTTTATTCTGTTGTTTGGGAAAATCCTACCAAAGTACAGCAATATCATGCTGATATCCGTTTTTAGCTGTATGTTCTTATCATTTCCAGGTTTCCTGGGAAATTCAGATTTTGATCTCGATTACAGCTTGAGCTATTTCAATAGGAATCATGTCAAATCATTACCTAATACTATTAGTGGAAGCAATAATCCAGATGGCAGAGTATGGGGTAAGGTCTCTGATCAGGAGAAGTCTCCTAAAGCTTCTTCCCTCTCTTTCCCCAAACCAGAAAGAAAGCACCAGGGTACATAGCTGCCAAAGATTTCAAAGCACTTGGTAACCTTTATTTCCTTTTTAAATATTGATACTGAACTCCTATATGAAATGTCATTGAAAAAATGTTGATAATAAATTAAATAAAAGCCACAGAAAGTTAGAAAGTTAGAGCTAGAAAGTGGTTGAGATATAATCTGGACCAATCTCCTCACAAGGAAGCTGAGACCAGAGTGACAAAAGTATTTGCCTAAGGCCACAAAAGGTTACAGTTTTACTAATTACTAGTAGTAAAGTCAGGACTAGAACTCAGATGTCCTGTTTCTCAGTCTAGAGATTTCTGCCCTTCATGACTTCAACCTTTCTATTCCCAATTCTAACTATCGTACTGACTAAATTTTCTAGCATATATACCACACTGGCATACAAAGACACACGACAGATGTTTATGCCAAAGATACTTAGAAATCACGAGACAAGACGAGTAGCAGAATTATAACACACTAGTGGCACTTATCAGATAGCAATTCTCATGCATCTTTTAAAAAGTGTTATCATCTCAGTAACAGCCAAAGACAATAATGGGTAAAGATGGCTATTACCATGCTTAGATGACTTTCTTGACTCTATTTCAATACTTTTGAGGTTAAATACACAAGAATACCCAGTTCAACCAGTTTCCTAAAAGAAGGACTTCATTTTCCTGAGGTGAGTGCGTTCTTAGGGGCATCTGTGAAGCTGGAGCCATTCTAGCATGATCATCTCTCAACGTTTGTCCACAACTGGATGTAAAGATTTCTGGCTGCATTCAAAAGCCAAGAAACAGATTTTGGTATCATTCATGGCTTTAACTATCTGTGCTTTATCTTCATTACATTAGAACAGTTCATAAAGGGTTATCTACACAAAGTCTCAGCTTTACAGAGGTCAGATACAACTTTTGATGCTGCTGATGCTTAGGATTCTTTTGAAAGTGAAAAATTAAAGTGAACTTAGGGGAAATGGTAGGCTGGTATCATTCTATCATCAGAAATGTCATTTTTTTTCTCATGAGAAATTTGTTGGTTTTTGAGTCTTTCCTCAAATAACCTTGCACAAATTATTGAATGAGGGACAAGATTCTTCTCTTTCATCTCATCCTTCTTCTCCTCCCCTCCCCAATAAGGTGTAAAGGATAGAGAAGAGTGGGTGAAACTGATGAGGTGCCTGCTGAACACTGTGTAACTGATGTCACAATCAGTTTCTTGTACTGGTGCAAATGATCAAATGGACATTAAGGGCAACAGTATTAGAACATGATATCCCAGAGGGCGAAAGAACCACTTGAGAGAAGGCTGCTTTAGTCTTTCATTCCCTAATTAATGTTATAGAAAGGCAACCTTATTATGTTGCCTGGGAATTTGTGGAGCTGCTTCACTCTACCTTCATAAGAAAGATATATAAAAGCAAAATTCATGCTCACAAGAAAGAATGTCTTCAAGAAAGCCAAGTTTCAGAGCCACAATTCATTTAGTATGTCCTACATCATTCTCCAACTGCAGAATATCATAATAACTGATAGTGATATCAATGATATTGACACCAGGTTAAATTTATGTTTATTGTTATCTAAGAAAGCAGGAAAATATTTTAGTCCATTTAAGAAAAAAATTTCTGTTAGAAACCCTTAATTAAAATAAAAATTTAGGACGTAAAGGACTAACATACAACTATATGGAAAACTGTTAACCTAGCAAATTATTCTTCAAGGATTCTGGATATCTGATGTCTTGCTGTAGATTGCTTTGACTTCCTAATTTCCAGGTGTTTCTTTCTATTTCTAAATGAATAACAGAGGTGGGATTTAAGACTCAATGAGACAGAATTCATATACATAGAAGGATGAAGAAATGATATGTTCTAAATTTAAAAAAAAAAGAGAGAGGGATTAAATCTTTGATATATCTTTCCATCAAAAGAAAATGGTAGATATAGGTAGGATGTAGCATATTGCCAACGATGACAAAATCAAAAAATGGCATTGTAAACATCATCAAGGACATTTATGGACAGAAAAAGAAGCAGGCCAGTCACAAGCAATTCAAGTATTACCCTGGGACTCATGAAATAATAAAAAAAACAGAGAAAGTGAGTTGGGTGGAACCAACCATCCAGGATGCTAAGACTTCAACAAATCATGGTCTACATTGGTAGATCAAGTATTCAAGCCGATAACCTCATAGATTGATAGATCAAAGTGCATATCTTACCTGTCGCCGAATTATTTCTAGGTTTCTTTTGGCTTTATTGACTAGCATTTGTATTTGTGCAGAATCCTTTACATTCTTATTTTCTCTGAAGGCTTCTCTTATCCTTCTAATGGCATAAGTTCTAAACAGATGGGAGGAAAAAAAGAAAAAAAAAGATTGTCAAAATCTGGCCTTTTAAATGCATTAAAATGGTTTCCTGTATCAATGATCCCTCCTTTGGATGACCTACTTTTGTCAACAAAGACTCATTTATAATGAGTCTTTGGGGAAGTCCTTGGGGAAAAAGCAGGAATTGGAAGGTCAAATTATCTTTTTCCAAACTAATCCACTAAAAACCTGGCAGAGGATCCATGATAACTAGAGCCCAGATGAGCTTTCTGTCTCCTGCTCTATCTTTACAACTTTTCTGCCTCTTGCCTTAGGTAAGAAGTCAAGATTTCAGTTCTGTTCACATCAGAATCCTATAAGTGATCATGACAAAGAATTTCCTTCAGTTTCCTCTACTAAACAATGATGAGGTTTGACCAGATGGATGATCTTTAAAGTCCCTTCCACCTCTAAATTCTGTGATCCTAAGATTCATCTTCTCTTTTTGAAAAATAAACACACATGCAAAGTGTATGGATTTGGGTAGTTTGCAGTTAACTAAATAGATGTCTTAATACAACCAATCAATCAATAAGCATTTATTAAGCAATCAATCAATATGTATTTGTGTGTCAGGTATTGTACAAGGCTCTGGGGGTAAATGGACCAAAATGAAACAGTCTATGTCCTGGGGACATAATATTCCATATAATAAGTTTATATATACAAGGTAACTGCTTGGGGGAACAACTACAAGCAGCTGGGGTGAGGAGAAGCCTTATTTAGGAGGGAGCATCTGAGCAGAGCTCTGAAGGAAGCCAGGGACTCTAAGAAACAGAAGTGAGAAGGGGGGGCATTCTAGGTATGAGAGTCAGTCCGCAAAAGCATGGAAATGGGAAATGGAATAAGAAATGTGGTGGGAGGAAAAACAAGAAGACCAAGCTGGCCAGAATTGAGATTAGTCAAAAGGGAATAAGGCTGAAAAGGTTGGATGGAGCTTTAAACGACAAACCCAAGAATGTGTACTTGATCATAGAGGCAAAGGGAGACACTGGAGCTTGCTGAGCAGGAGAGTGGCCTGGGTCAGACCTGGGGATCAGGAAAATAATTCTGGCAACTGTGCGGAGTCTGGAAAGGAGGGGTAAAAAGGGGAGACCAATTAGATTGGAGACTATTTCAATATTTCAGGTGAGAAGGCCCAAATTAGGAGAGATGTATGAGACAGAATAGGTAAGAGCTGGCAACAAATTATTTATGTGGGTGGAGGAGGCCTAGGAGCTTAGAAAAATGGTGCCCTTGACAGAAAAGTGAGATAGAGATATGGGCTCAAGTGTGAAGTAATAATCATAGCTAGCATTTATAGAATGTATGCCTGCTGTGGACCCAAAACTGAGCTAAGTGCTTTACAAATACTACCTCATGTGTTCCTCACAACAACCCTGTCTCTATTACCATAATAAGAATTAATAATTACAGTAGTTAGTAGTATAATTAATATTATTTCCATTTATAGATGAGGAAACTGAGGCAAATGGAGGATAAGAGATTTGTCCAACACCACACTAATGAGTGTGTTAATTAGCTGATACTTGGCCAAGACTGGTGTTGAAGTTAGGCCTTCCTAACTCCAGGACCAGTACTCTATCCACTGCACCCCTAGCTGCCTCCATAAATTTCGAAAGAGAATACAAATCTTACTGTCCAAGCCCACTCCTCCCTTCATCCCAACAGAAGGAGGGTCAATAACTTACATTAACCATATGTTAACAGATTTACAGATTTAAGGATACAGTTAAATATAATTTATTTTCTCCTGACCACTGCTGTTTTTCACAAGCCACCTAAAAATACAACATTAACATCAACAGAATCAAGAGAAAATATGGTATAAAGGCCAAGAGAGTAAAAAGAAGAGAACTAATCCTTCTGCATTAAACAGAGAAGAGGTATTTTGATCACACTGTGGTGGAAATAGCACCAGGTTCAGATTAAGAAGGCCTGGTTAGATCTTCTTATCTACATACTCTCTGTATGAATATGGGCAAGCCATTAAATATCCCAAAGTCTCAGTTTTCTGGCAAATAATATGGGCACAGTAATATATGTTGTGTTTCATTTTAGTGTTATTTGGATGAAAACATTTTTTAATCTGTAAAGCATTTATATCATACCCATGAACAATTTCAGATAATGTGTCAAAAGACAAAGTAAAACCATTAGCTCTTTAAACATCAACTCTATTTGCATTTGGAAATGCAAATCTGAACCTCAATATAAATACCTGGCTACAGAAAAAAAAAAAGGTAGCTTAAGAGCTGGGACATCTGTAAAATAATCCTGAGAAAAGCTCTTCAACTTTAACCAGCCAACTGGAATGTTAACATAGTAAGTAGATCATAAACACTTAATTCCAAACCTAGGAATGACAGTGACTATGACTTCCATGTAGTAGCAGATGGTATGCATCTTTAATGAAGGCCCATTCACCCATAATGTGATAAAAGGAGGTGTTGTAAGCAGAATTTATTAAATACAGGCTCATCTTCAGTTTTGTAGCTGATAACCTAACAAAGTTTTAGGGGGAAGTTGATTAGTATTCTAAGAGCACATGTAAGTTAAAAGCAAGCTTCTGTGCACTTGGTCAGTCTTTTTTGACATATCCTCTAACTGTGGCTCTATCCCAAGACTCTGGGAGTCCTGGACTCTCTTCTCTTCACACTCTCTTACTTGGTGTTGTCAGCTTCTATGAGTTTAATCTCTATGCAGATGATCCAGTCTCTCTTCCAAGCTCTAGTCCCATGTCACTTTCTTTCCTGTTCAGTAAACTCCAATGGGCCAACACCTGTATGATCAAATATAAACTGCTCTGTTTGACACTGAAAGCTCTTTACGATGTGGTCCCATCCTATCTTTGTAGAATTATTACTCTGCTACCTACTCTACTAACTACACAATGCTCCTAATTCCCATTTCCCCGACTTTTCAGTGGTTGTTCTCCATGCCTGCAATACAGTCTGTGTTCATCTCCAATGCTTAGAATTAATAATTTCCTTCAAGACTTGGCTGAAGCTGTACCTTCTTCAGGAAGTCCTCCATAGTATCCTTCAGTTATCAGTTCCTTCCCTGACAATGTTACTTGCTGTCTTTTTTTTTTTTTGGCTAGGCAATGGGGTTAAGTGATTTGCCCAGGGTCACACAGCTAGTAAGTGTTATGTGTCTGAGGCCAAATTTGAACTCAGGTCCCTCCTGAATCCAGGGCTGGTGCTCTATTCACTTCACCTAGCTGCCCCGCTGTCTTTTCTTGTATGTGCTTTATATATACGTACATAAATGCAAGATTGAATGCAAGCTCCTTCAAGGTGGGGACAATTTTGCTTTTGTCATGGGGCAAGTGTCTAGCATAGTGCCTGGCACATAATAGGAACTTCATAAATGCTTACTGATTGGTGATAATGGATGTTGGCACACTATATTATCCCCCAAATCTTGATCCTCTTTAAAAGATACTTTATTTTGGGGGGACTATTTGGTTTTACTATTTTGTACCATCTGTGGATGTTGTCACATGGCATAATTTTTCCTGAGGGAAGCATCCTGCCAGACCCATTTCCATCATTTTAATTCTCTACTCATAATGCAGCACTGGTCTTCCAGGAACAAAGATAAACAAGCCATGGTGTTCACTTCTAAACACTCTGCTCACAAAGCCAGTGGCAGGCACGTAATATCTTTGAAGAAAAAACAGGAGTACTATAGTTGATGTGTAGGGCTCTACATTTTTCATCTCTTCCAAACTTTAAGAAAAATGGAAATAACTTAAGACACCAAACAATTCATATTCAGTTTCAGTAGTCTGGCACAATTCCCTGACCCTAAGTATTTAGCCTGTTTTCATTTTTCTCCAAGCCCCTCCAGTTCCCATACTTAAAATTTACCTATGGCAATGAGGCTAGGTACCCATTCATTCAATGACATTTATTCCATGTCTGTCATGTGAAATGCATTGTGTTTGTTGACAGAGGAGGTACAAGATCAATGAGACACAGTTCCTCCCTTAAGAAATTCACAGTCTGTTAAAAGTATCTATAAAAACCTAGGGCAGCTAGGTAGCACAGTGGATAGAGCAGGCCTGGATTCAGGATGACTCATCTTCTTGAGTTCAAATTTGGCCTCTGACACTTCCTAGCTGTGTGACACTGGGCAATTCACCTAACCCTGTTTGCCTCAGTTTCTTCATCTGAGCTGGAGAAGGAAACGGCAAACAACTCCTGTATCTTTACCCCAAATGGGGTCACTAAGAGTCAGACAGACTGAAACAACACAACAACAAAATAAAAACCTAAAGCAATGGTTCGTGTCTTGCATGTGTCCTGAACAGAATAAAGCAGGCAGTCATTTTTTTTTTTACTCTTCCTAGTGCCACCTCTCACCCTTTCCCCTCTTCAAAGCACAAATCATTTTCTTTTGCCCTAAGGGAATATTCTTCGCTTGGCTTCGAAACTCCAGTCTAAGAGCGCACTAGCTAATTACTTAGGTTGAGTGGATTCCTTTCTGCTTTCCCAAAAGGTGAACCTGACTTCAGCAGAACTGCCTCCAAGCCATTCTCTATATATATAGTAGTCTATTCCTTACCTCCACCACTATTTCTATAACATATATATTTTGCTGATTACCTAGGTAAACGGTTTGTCTTCCTGTACATTCAGGATATCAGTCCCTTAACTATTTCACTGAAAAGGAACATTTCAAAGAAAAATTCACAAATGCCACAATGAAAATCACAGCCAGCTGCTGCACAATATCTGGCATTATGAAAATCATAATATGAGTCATATGCTGTTTGAAATAAGGCATGAAAAATTAACACATAAAGGGCAACAGACTAACAACCACCATGAAATGTGCAAAAGCAGGATACAGCCACCGAAACAGCTAGGCTTGTATTCCAAATAAAATTACTTTTCTTCCTTTACACCCACTGCTTTGGGAAAATCATCTGCTGTCTTCATCTGCTGCCCCTTCTTCTCTACTTAT